TATACCTAAGCTTGATGAGATGAACATCTTGGAGAAAGCATAAAATGGGGCACACGCAAAAATTTGCAAGATCCTTTACAAGGTAATGGCCATTTGTTCCCATTTTAAAATCAGTGTATAATAATTAAATATTCTCCTTTTGTTGGTATTCTCTCAATAATCAATACTCTTCTGGTTTTGTATGATATTGTTCTCTAAAAGCTCCATTGCATTATGTATGTGAACATACATGTGAGCTGTTGGGATGCCCCAAGCATTACATCTTGCTCATTAGTTCCAAAGATTATTCCAATCTTTGGAAATTCAGAATGTACAATTCTCAAGTGAAGCGACTATTTTAAAATACAAAATTTATTTAACCCAAGAAAGCATACAGGAGGGTCTAGTTGGTGTAGCCACATATAGTTAATCCATTTATGCTTCTGCTACTCTGAACCATTAATAACCATCAGCTTCATGTTGTGGATAAACGGAACTGATTATCAGTCAACACAAAAACAGGAAAGCTTGATTACTGTGGGATCTTTCAATTAGACCTAACATCATTAACTTCTCACAATTAAATTCAGGCGCTTCCTATTTCCGAGCCTTAGGAAGTCTTTCTGGGAAAGCAAAAGAAAAGAGGGTGCTGCGTATCAACCATCTGAACCCTGGTGACTTGAGGGAGCAAAGAATGCTGTAACAGCTGGACCTGTTTGCAAAAAGTATCTTCAGTGTCAGTACATCCATCATGACTAAAGCAATTTACTGAAATGGAGTTAGTGCTGGTTAAAGATGCTAAACTTTAAGCCCTTAAGCCCTCAAACCTGCATTCATCTGCAGAGCAAGCACGACAGATTCACACTGTCTCACCTCATCTTTGGTTTGAAGACAGCAGATCTAAAGATAAGAGAGGAGGTCATGCTCTGTTGCCACAATTAAAAGCAGTTTAAAATATGTTAACGAGGAACAGGTTTTCAGAAGAATTTAGTACCAGCAAGGGCAGAATGATGTGTCCTCAAAGGTCTTAAGATCTTAACTTGTCGTGGAAGTACCTGAACTTCAGCACCTTTCTATGATACCCCAAGGTGCCACCTCAAGGTTTGGGTGCCCAAATACCTTTAGCAATTCATCTCCATGTGCCTTTTCTCATATTCTGACCTCTATGAGCACATATTTATGTGCAACTATAATTGACACTGAGCATTAATCAGGCAGTGGCAGTAAGTTTTAGGCCTTAACTGCACTGTTTGAACTGCTGACCTTGAGAAAAAAGGTTTTATATACCATTCCCAATCCCTTAAGTCTTCCTGTCACTGCAAAGCAAATACTTTACTTTTATGGATGGATTCAGTTTCAAGTCTGTTGTTTTTCTAATGTTTGTTAAAATTACAAAAGTGGCTTTCAGGGAAAGTTTGTAAACATAGGCACATTTTTCATTACAGATTATTACCAACACAGACATGCTTTTGTAAAATAGTGTATGATTAGAGATAAGTGATAAAATCCTGCACGCAGGAACATTGTCTGTAGAAGTGTTCTGTGAACTTAGAGATAAATAATACCAGAAGCAACAGCAGATAATTTCTTTTCCCTTTTCCCAAACATTTTACAGTTGTTGGTAAGGACTTCTTTAACCAAAGTGGTACGAGGTCATTCCTTCAGATCTATGACGTTAATTTGGTTAATTTTTTTGTTTTAATCTTGAACTGTTTTCTACAGATGGGTAAGTTTAGCATTTCTGGTACTGCTAGTCAGGTTTCTGTTTCTTAATTGTAACTCAGAGTCATACTTACTGAAAGATCAGTTGAACAGTTACCATGTTAACTGTGATTGCATGAACTACCAAAGGAAGAATGGCTTTGAGGGCTTCTGAAGCCTTTTGCAAAAGTTACATACAGCTTCCAACCATATCGGTTGAGCATTAATATTAACAAAGGGTTTACACAAGGAAGCAATGGCCAGCAGCTCAGGATGCTGTGTTGGCATACAGTACTTTAGATATGTGAATTTGTGCTTTAGTGAAACAGCTACTGAGGCACTACAGCCAATAGGAAAAAAAAACCCAAACCCACAAAATTAATAGAAACCAGATTTAAAAAAATAGACAAAAGAAGCTGGATGATGTCAAATGAAAAAAGGCAGAGAAACAAGTAAACAATTACAAATTGGTTATTAGCAAGAATAAGCAGCATAGCTGGGAAAACCAAACTTTAAGATGAATTCTGTAGTGCCACAGACAGCACATCTCCTCCCATGAAAGCCAATGGGCGTTTGATCGCCAGGGAATCTGTCCATTAAAGTTTGGTAATGATACTCTTCCTTACTCTGTGTAGACAGTGAAACTCTCTGGTTGCTTTAAAATTACAAAACATTGTTTCAAACTCAGAATACTTCTTTTTGCAAGAACATAAGCTCATGGGGCTGAGCTGAAAACCAAAGAACTACTGCAAAATGTTTCCACTCCTTTTTTCCCCTTTGAAAGTTTTGTTGCACTTTTTCCCTGTTCTCTTTTTTCAATAAGGCTTCCAAATCTCTAGACACAATAAGTTTTCTAAGAGGGCTAATGATACCTGATAGCAGCAGAAAACCAAAAATAAAACCAAACCCATAGAAGATGGTTATTCATTCAGCTTTGAACAACATATATAAAATATATAAAATGTTATATATATATATAATATAAAGTGAATATTAAGCACCTTCCAAATTCACAGCTTAGCCATTTTCAGACCTTAAAAACAGCTCATGAAACTTGGTTGTTGTATAGACACATTATTCTCAAAAACATTTGAAGAAAAATCTGACAAGTTATTGAAACAAGGCTGAAAAATACATTTTATCTCCAATCACTTAGTCATGGAATCATCTTCATAAGAAATTGGGGGAAAACATTAGAAAAAATCTCTGCAGTTTATGAGCATCCTACCTTTCTTTTGCGCAGTTTCACTTGACTGTCTGAATATTCTTGTGTGGTCAAATGATCCCTTACATGTAAACACTGAATGTCTTCTGCTGAACTGACATTTGAAAGGCATTTGTTTTCAGGGGCCACTTGAGGTTCTGTGAAACCACTTTCATCCAGACCATTCTCCACTGCTGGGATGAGAGAGCTAGGAGAAGATTGCATAAGGCAGTCGCTGGATTCCACTGTTGAACATAGTTGTCTATCACTGCTGGTGCATGATTCAGAAGAAACCCCACTCTCTACCACATTACACTCAGACTTTCCAAGCCCGTCTTTAAAAGCATCAGATTTCCGGCGCTGTTGTGCAATTACAGCGGTATGAAGCAGCTGCTTCCCAGGCATAATAATTTCTTTCACATTTGGAGAATTAGAAAGATTTTCTTTCTCTACATCTACTACTTCATATAAGCCTTCATAATTACAAAGCTCCAGGCTTTGGCCAATACTGCCACAAATGTTGTCTTCTTCCATCTCCTCTTTAGGAACTGTGTCACAGCCAGGTTCCTTATTTATATCTCCAATTATTCCAGATGCTTCAGTTGCCTTGTTACTCTCTGTTATTGGTACCATCTGTGTTAAGGAGCCTGCTCCATTGAAATTCTTCTCTTCATCTTTTGGTTCCCTTCCTACAGCAGTGATGTGGTAATTAATACTATCCAGGTTGAATGCTGAATAGTCATCATCGTCATCAGACACATGGACTAGAGTTTCTGTGCTGGCCTCCAGAAAATGCTCCTCATCCTCGTGGTTATCATTTTCATCCACTTCCTTTGAAACATTTCCCAGCTGCTTTGCAGGGAAGCCAATCAGCTCTCCACTATAACAGCACTCTGGAAACGAAGCGCATTTTTCTTTCCGGTCCACGCTCAAAACCTCATCTTTTTCCATACTTGTCTGCAAGTTATCAGCTACAAGTCCGTGACAACATGCTGTATTATACTCCACAGACTCCAAAGCCAATCCCATCCACTGGGTCACATGCTCTTCCCAGCTTTTCTTTCTGGTTGCTAGAGACATGTCATAACAGTTCAGCAGCAGGCTGCAACGTACCTTCCATGGAGGACCAGAGGAGATGTCATGGCTGCTGTGCACTGCTCCAAAGGGAGAGAGGGTTTCATCATTTTAACATCTGTAAGAAATAAAAAAAATACTGGGTTACTGAATCAACTCCAAATAAAAAAAAAAAGAAAGGGAAGGAACAGTTTAAACAAAAGTGTAAAAGCAAGATAAGACTGCGGGACCATGAGGACAGGAATTTAGAAGACTGTTTTGTTTAAAGTTTTAGTACTTTTCATACAAAACTTGACAGAACCCATAATTCAGAATAACTTTTTTTCTGATTACTCTCCAATATCAAGTAAACAAAAATGGTATGAACAGGCACATGGACAGGCAAGTAGCTCTGGAGCCAAATTTTGACAATAAGTCTCTCTTCACTATGTCTGTCATAAGATATTAATTTCCATGGGTATAAATGGCATTATGTCTCATGATTGCTTTGCACACAAAGTTATTTTGTATTTCATTATCATCCAGAGATACCCGTGGAGTGCAAAATTTTGGCTGTTTCCCAAAGAGGTAGAGCAGAACTTCAGGGTTATTCTGAATTTACCAAAGTTATAAACCACTTGTCTTATGAGTAGCTTTGGCCCATTCAGTGGCTCTCATTTTTATTATTATTATTTCACTCTCTTCAGGACAAGTTGTAATTACAAGTGTTACATGAAGCTGCACGGGAAATCAGCTTTTGTGTGGTAACAAAAAATACAACCCTAGGAAAACTAATTTAAGTTTTTGGCATATTCCTTACCTTAAATACATTATAAAACCTGAAAAAAACCTTTGGTGAATGTATTCGGGCTCTACTATTGTAAGGAAGGGAGGAAACCCTTATTTAGGATGGGGTTTTCCAGAAGGCTAGCTTGTGAGCCAATGTGGTCAGCCCTAACTGTGCCTCTCACCTGGACTGTCGGGCTCTGCCGCAGCCCACTGTCCCCACTCGATTATCTAGGTGGGTATTTTTCACTGACTGCTGTATCGGGCTTTCGGAATGATGGCATTTGAGATACATTAATCTTGTGACATTGCATGTACGAATTAGCACAAAGAAAATACCTCATATTAATTTATGCATTATGAAACAAAATTAACAAGTTCTTTGTCAAATAACAAAACAAAACTTCTGGCCCGTAAAACATTAGAGGTTCAAGGAGCAGATGCTTCTACTTTTCACTCCCTACATAAGAACTGTCAGCACTTAGCATGGATCTGCTTATTGATTTCAGCAATAAAGAAGATTAAGTACTGAGTTTGTTCTGGGTCATTTCAGTCCACTAAGGCAAATTCTGATTGCCCACCAGGCCACAAAGCTGCCTTGACAAATCACATGCCTGAAGGTATAAAAGTATTCATCTTGAAAGAAATGCAGAATTATGCCTGTGCAACTGAACCTCTGTAAATTATATCTTGACAAACTGACTTTCAGGATAGAGTTGTACACGCTCCTAGATCTTTAACCTTCTTTGGGGATGGCAAGCTTCATTTCATATTCACATTTTCCACCTCTGTGGAGACTGTGCTTAAAAAGAAAATATATTCATAGGGTAAGAGAATTCCATGCACAAGCCATTAGCGTGTGGGAGGCTGAGGAAAATGGAAAATAACACACAAAGCCAAGCCAAAAAAAATTATCTGCTTTCAGAGGCAAAATTCGGTAGCAAGAAATTAATACAATTTTAAGATTCTCTTTTCTTTCCTGGTTGAATATGAGAGCAAGCTTAAATAATGTAAAGTCAAATTATTATATAAATTTCCAGTGCATTTACATTCTTATTCTGACTTAATTTCATATTTTTATTCTCCAATTATTTCTAAGTGTCCGTGGCCCAAAATTACCACAGGGTGCAAATCAATAACGATGATACTTTTAACTTCGCTGCACCTTTTCCTGATGGACCCTAAAACTCTTCAGAAGCAATTAAATTAGTTTTACAACACTACTGTGTTTTGTTTTGACCTCTGAAAAGGGGCAGGTTTACTAAAAGGGGCTCTATGATTTCTGCTGCCCTCCATTAGCAGTGCTTGGAGTTGCACCTGGGTGCAACTCATTTGTAGCTTCCCTCTCTCTTCCCCTACTAGAAAAGTAGCTCCATCTACTTTACAGAAAATTAAACACGGTTGCTACAGCCATATAGGGGAGTTTCTGACAAAAATCAAGACAAGACACCAGTAATATTAAGTGTAAAAAGCTAAAAATTGCAACTTCCTAATGACGCACATGCATCCATCCACCTAGCTAAGATTTAGGCTGCTTTTAATGTGCAGAAGGCAAGCATTCAAATAGTTAATGGGTGTGTGTTAATCTTGCTGCTGCTAAATGGAGTTACACGTGTGCAGAAAGAGGAGAACAGATCCCTTACTGTTTTTCATTTTTTGGATGTGGAGAGTTATATTTCATGGGGGATGAAAAACAAATAAATTTTACTTTAGGAACCCTTCTGTTTTACTTGCACTATCACTAGTTTTGGCTGCCTCATAGACTGCAGAAAAAATGATTAAACAGGAAAATATCAAATACTTTGCTTGAAATGCAAGACAAATAAATATATGACAAGGGCACTTTCATTGTTCTCTAAAATATGAGCTTACATTAGCACTGAGTATGAAAAATTTACGTTACATACACCCCCTCTCCAGGCAGCTTCAGCTAGCAATCCCTGAAATCCCCTCATTCCCATGGCACATGGAGGAGCCCATAGTTTGGTGGAAGCTTACTTTTCTTCGGCTCTCCCTCCACTCCTCAGAGTCTGCATTATCTGCCACAATTCAGCTTAGAAATTATTTTCCTGCTATAAATGCTTGACAGTTATGGGTCAATAAGGAACTTTTTTCTCTCTTCTACCTCTGTATTCAGAACAACTTATTTCCTTTCCACTCACATGCAGGCACATAAGCTCTGCTTTGGAGGATTCACTACTTCAGACCTCTGAATGAGATTCATAACTGTGCTCTTTTTTCTGCCAAAGTGCGCTGCCACTTTGCAGAAGAAAGGGCTCCTGCCTCGATCACTGCTTTTCTGCTATTGCTGCTCACTTTTTTCTTGACACGCAGCATCTTTTGCCCTCTGAGAAATGCCCCTCTCAAGTCCTTTTGTACTGTTCACCAAGGGAAGAAGCATCACTCTTTCTCCATTTCCATCATTATCATCCCACAACTAGAAACCTTTATATCTGATTCTTCCAGATTTTTAAGACAGGCAGATGAACTCTTAGCAGTCTGTTGAAAAGTTTTCTAGAGTAAAAAGACCTTTTCTTCAGGTCAAAGCGTCTGCCAGTATCATACAGTCCACTCAGCTGCTCCCATAATTCAGACTCATATTTGTTTTTACTTTTAAATAGTAGTAAGTTTGGTACTGCTTAATACTATTAACTTTCTGGAGAATAAGGTTTGAAACAAAATATGAATGATAAAGACTTCTCCTGGACAAAAATTTTTGATCCTGGGTGTTACTTAAGGAATATTGGCAATATTGACTCAGTAGGCAATTCTTGACCAAAGGAAATAGAAGTGAGCAGTGGGTGATCACGCTGGGGCAGAATCCCCTTCAAGCACTCTCTGTGATGCTTCACGGTGTTTACAAAACAAGTTGTCATTTTAGATGGATTTTGTAATAATTTACTGCCTGTCTCCTTTCACTGTAAAATAGAATGGAAATGAAAAATAGGGCTTGTTTATTTTTGGAAGTTTTGTATCAAGTCTCACAGAATTGATAGTTACTTTGCAGCAGATAAAGCAGAGCGATGTGTAAGATGAACTGGTAGGCTCTCCTATAATTAGATTGTCTAACATTTTTGTTCAAGGAGGATTCCTGTGATCTTTTTCTGAGAAGCTCAAATTAAACTGTTTCTAGCAGGCTTTCGAAATTCAGACAGAGAAGCGTCCTTTCTTTATCTCATGAAATTCCATTCAGGTTTGGCTGTGCTGCGCATTTTTCAAGATGCATTTTACCTTCTCTCGCTTCCCTCCTCAAGGAAATGTGACGGCATACAAGAAGTATCTTTAAACAAAACAGACCCAATACCTATGACTGACACCCTGTGAAAGTTGCACAAGCTGCAGCAGGAAGACCTAGGAGTTGGAGCTAGAGTGAGAATGGAAAGGGGAGGAAGGAGACTTGCTTGAATATCTGTATCTGCTACCCAGACCTGTCAGAGACCCAGCTCCCCTTCTGGGGCACAGCACGGGACACAGAAACCTCCCAGTTACAAGAGTGAGGTGGCTGGGGCACACAACTAGGGCTCTCTGGTCTTCCACTTCCTTCCTCAGCCTCCTAGGACATAGGAGCAGAGCCCACCCTGGTTTTCCCAGGGTAGAAAAAAGGGGTAAGGAGAGAAACGCAGAGCCATTCAGCAGCCGCAGCCACGCCATGAGATGGAGCAGTGCACCCCACATTGCCATTAGGATGAGACAGCTATGGAAAAAGCAGGCACAGATAAGACACCGCCAGGCAGGAGGACACGTCGGTGGCATCCCTGGCTGGCCAAGGCAAGGACAGCCACTGACCCAGGTCTGACATCCCTGCTGGCCCCACCAGATCCACCATACTGACAATTCATTACATCATGCATGACCTCCTCCACGTTGCAGTAAATAGAAAGGCTGCGGGAGGGAGAAAGTTGCAAAGAACACGGGAGAGTTTACTAAGTATAAGTGGCAGGAGAGTTTCAGAGAGGGCAGCCCGCTTAAATCAGTCCCTACCGTCCTGCCAGGGGAATGCAGTTTTTGCTAATGCTTTACATAGGATTCAAATCTTTTCTGTGAAAAAATAAGGCAAAGTATTAGCTTATGAACTTACACAGAGATGAAAGACTGTTTCATTACATTTTTTACATAGCATGCATACGTAAGCAACGGAGATTAAGCAGAAATATTTATTTTGTTATCATTATTTTATCTTCATTGGTCTGTGACCTCAGTCAGCAAACTTTGTTTAAGGAAGTCTGAGTGAACAGGGTCTGTTTCCTATAAACTCATCTCACATCTTCCTGGTCTGGCTTACATTCAGCTCTTTCAGTAACTCCATACCAAGCTCTGAGACAGAATGTTGTTTACAAATAATCTGAGATAAAC